TTGACCCCACTCGCTGCACCTAGAGAAAGCTGTTTGCAACCATAAATAATGTTGTTTTTAAAAAAAAAAAAAAACTAAGCACAATATAAAACTTTCACTAAGAAAAAATAGTTAAAGCTAGGCTACAGACTACATGTATCATCTCACTTAATTCTCACAATAACCTGATACAGGTGTTATTTTCTCCATTTAACAAACGGGGAAACTGAGTCACTAATCACTTATGTAACTTACCACTGTCCTGCAACTAGTCAACAGCAGACTCAAATCCAGGCTGTCTGATTCCAGATCCAGTGCTCTCAACTTCTATATATATCTATTACTGAAAAGTGACAATTCTCTAAATATCCATGAGTCTGACATAAATAAATGATTGTATAAATAAATGAAGGGAAAGGATGGCTTTTTTACAGAAGAATTCCAAATAATAACTGTAGCAGGAATGAGGAAAATAATTACCATTAGGTAAACACCAACTTTTGCAAGCAAGAACCATCAACAGATTCCTGTTGATGGATTACCTGTTAAAATTAACAGGTAAATGATAAGAATAGGATATTTGCAACTAATCGAGGCATCTCTCCATATGGTATTTATTAAATATAAGGAGAAAAATAGTAAATTTACAATGGAGAAACCAGCAGACACCACCTAAACAAAGTGATCAAAGTTAACATCACTGCCAGAAGGGTAGAATCACTGTAATTACTGAATGTGTAGACAGAACTTTCCATGAAAAAAATTTTTACTTAATGATTTAAAGCTCTTCAATACTTTTGCTGCCATAAAGTTTGTTACTAAACTACCAACTGTGACAAAAACTTAACAAATTCTGCTTGATTTGCGACTAGGTAGGCACTAAGTCTCTAAAATCACTTGAAGCATTTTTACTGTTCTGTCTTCATGAAAACTGTACCCTTTAAAGAAATTTATGATGAGACAGCTGAAATATTCCCATTAATATTTCTATTATTAATAGTAATGCAAGATACAGTTATTATGGAAATTATATTTGGAAGTTATAGTTTACAACTTCTGAAATCCATTCAAGGAAACTGAAATATGCCATAAGCAAAAAATAAAAGGTAGGTGTATCTTTTGATTTCAAATAATTAAAGCTGATATTTATTGAGTCTTTACTATGTACCAGGCACAGTTTTTTCCCTGCACATTATTTAATTCTTACAATTTCCTAAGGTTGATTATATTACCACCACTTATCAGATGAGTAAATGGTTACAAAGTTTAAAAATATTGTATAAGGATGGGTTGTCTGACACAAGCAATACTGTCATTCTTTTTCTAAATATTGTTTTCAATTGCTAACAAGAAGAAAATCTAATTAATTTGAGTTTCATTGACTTTTATCTTCACTTTCCTCCTAGGCAGATGTATGTTAACACACACCAACAAGAATGGTAAATAATTACTAATCCAAGATAACTAAGAGTTGGCCATATTGTTATTATAATTATACTGAACTTATTTACATACCCTTTGTTTTATATCAAACTTTGAGTTCTTATGGAGGAAAATCATGATTTTGATTAAATATAAAATAGGCAGTTAAACTTCAGATAATACACACTTTGTAAGAATCTGAAGCACATGTCATTACTCAGGTAATCATTCTTGATTATTTCATTTACACACATATTTGCAAGTCTAAACAAAATGTATACAACAAACATCATATTTAAGTTTCTAAAAATTTATTTTAATTGGAGAATACTTTACGATATTGTGACGGTTTTTGCCATACATCAATATGAACTGACCACAGGTATATGTGTCCCCTCCATCCTGAAGCCCCCTCCCACTTTCCTCCCCCACGACCCCTCCAGGTGTCACAGAGCACTGGCTTTGGGTGCCCTGCGTCATACATCAAACTCCCACTGGCTATCTATTTTACATATGGTAATATATATGTTTCAGTGCTATTCTCTCATATCATCCCACCTTCTCCTTCTCCCACTGAGTCCAAAGTCCATTCTTTACATCTGTAAACACCATATTTTTTAATGTTCTGTTTTCCACCATTGAAGCACTGATTCCTTGAATCTAGCAAAAAAAAAAATTTTCAAATAACTGCATCAGAAAGTTTATAATTAACATAATCATTTATATTTGAAGATTGTTGCATTTATTTTTCAAATTTGAAGTTTTTATCATTAAAAATGTCTTATTACGGTTTATTTACACCCTCAATTGTTAAAATAGAAGTAAGGTACTTCATGGGCTTCCCAGGTGGTGCAAATGGTAAAGAACCTGCCTGCCAATGCATGAGATACAAGAGACACGGGTTCGATCCCTTGGTGGGGAAGATACCCTTGAGAAGGACATGGCAATCCACTCCAGTATTCTTGCCTGGGAAATCCCATGGATAGAAGAGTCTGGTGGGCTACAGTCGTTAGGGTTGCGAAGAATCAGAGAGGACTGAAGCGAGTTAGTCCACACACAAGGTACTTCATATTAGCTTCTGGATTTGCCATGTCTTGCCTACAACAAAACAAGTCACTGGGCTTAAGCTGGAGACTTGATCATTCCTTTTAGTCCTATTCTTAGAGGGATGGGAATACAAAAGAAGTTCTTAATCTAGAGACAGTTAAAATGGCTTTTTTAGTTTTCTTCTAAAAGGAAATAGGCTGCCAAATTTCAGGATCATCACAACATCCATTAAATATATATCTTGTAAAAAATGTTTACATTCTATTAAATACTGTATCTTAGCCACATATAAAATAACACTGCCAGTGACATCAGTGGAATTTCATGGGCAATGGAATGAGTCAGTAAGTCTTGTCAAAATAGGCATATTCCTCCCCCTCTAAAATGTTATAATTGTCTAAATACTTAAAAGGATGCAATGTCCATGTTGACAATTGTCTAAAAAAAGCACAAAGTTCATAGACAAGCCTTTCTCTCCTTGTTTCTTCTGAAAAATGAATAAAATGGAAAACAATCTTAAACCACATTGAAATTCAAATTATAGGTTGCTATTGTTGTCCAATTGCTAAGTTGTGTCCGACTCTTTGTGACCTGGTGAACTGTAGTCTGCTAGGCTCCTCTGTCCATGGGATTTTCCAGGCAAGAATACTGGCGTGGGCTGCCATTTCCTCCTCCAGGGGATCTTCCTGGATCAAGGATTGAACCTACAGCTCCTGCACAGGCATGTGGATTCTTTACCAATGAGCCACCAAGGAAGCCCAAATTAAAGATAAGAAAAAACAAAAACCAATGACATGAGAGAATTTTCAACTATTGATAACTTACAAGATCTGCAGTTACTTCTTTCATTAACAATTGTTTGCTGTTTTCTATATTTTAAATTGTATTATACTTTAAGTAAAATATTTACTATATTTAAAAATTCAAATAACATTTTAAAAAAGAACAGAATTTTTAGATATTAATATTTTTCTCATTTGTATCCATTTAAAGATTCATATTTTCACTTTAATATAATTTTTCTTGCAATATGTACCTCAGAAATAGAAAAGAACGCCAAAAGGGAAGTTTTATTTATGCGGTAGAAAAGCTGAAAAGGAAAGAAACTTCAGAGGGGACAAAAACCTATGATATTTCAAGCGGTTTCTTGAAAGAAACCGATCTATAAAGGATTTGAAAATTGTATACAAACTTGTATAAAATAAGCTTAACAGCCAGATTCATGTTAGCGTGCTCCGGGTGTAGTTTTAACTGTACACTTCACACAATAGAATGAAAGAATGATTTGGTGATGATGAATGCATTGATTAAACTGTGAGCCCAATAAACACTGGTTACTTTTTTGGTAGAAATATTTACAAGCAATTACAGTCACTGATTTCTTGCAGTTGTTTCTTGTTATGTTCCTGATTTTACAATTCCCCAACGCAAAGGTGCAGAAAACTAATATTTACCCTCCTTTTCGAAAAATGGCATGATGAAGAGAAGACTCGCAGGGTATAAACACAAATGCAGACTTTTGGAAGTTGATGGCTTTAAGATTCATTCTGTTAAGTTTCTGTCATTTCTCAAACAAAATTTTTGAGTTTTCCCTTAAAATCCCAGCGCTTCTTTGCATTAGCCCAACCAAGTACATGATCCCTACCCATTTTTGACCCTGTTCACTGCTCCTGCCCGCAGTTTCAGCATCGCAGGTCCCCGGTATCCCGGGCGAATTGAAGCCCACGGAGTCCAAAAACCCAGGGCCCCAAAATCTGGGAGGTTCCTGGTTCCGTTGGACCCACAGCCTGCGAGCTCCAGCGGCAGACCACAGCTCCAGGCTCTCCTAGGGGACCTGAGACCTCTCCCACAATATCCTGTTCCTTTTGTTTTTTGTTCAACAAACGTGTTCAACTTCCGATGCCCCTCAATCTTCGAAAAATCATTTCGGGCCTCACTTTGCAGGGCAGTGTCCTCGCCGTATTAATGACCCAAAGAAGCTTCGGAAGACCAATGTCAGGAGCTATTTAGCAGATATTACCAAACGCTGTCCCTCCAAGTGCCGCGCATCTGCGGGGAACATAAAGCCTCCTCCCTTCCCTTCATCTTTCACTACCACCCAAGAAAGCGTTAATGGCAAAGAGCGACCACAGCGAAGCTCTGCCGTGCGTGCATCCAAGCCAGCCTTATGCCAAGTTCCTCCACACCGCGAGGCGCCACCTTCTCCCCAAGCCAGCAGGAGGGGTGGCAAGAAGCGGCCAGGCCTCGAGGCTAAGGGCGGGGAGGGGTCTGAGCATCGAGGCCTCAAAAACCTCCGGGCTGGAGGTGGATCGAGAATCACGTCCGGGACTGGCGGGGTGTCTCTGCTGAATTCTTGCATCCAGTCGGGAGACTGGGTTCCCCGGACCGCGTAGCGGAACTACAACTCCCGAGACCACTGCTGCCCGGACTTCCGGAAGCCGGAGCTGGCCGGAGAGGAAGTTGCTGAGACCCGGCCAAAAGGACGGGGGTTAATTTAGCAAGAAAAACGGGGGGTGGGAAGAGCTTTAGGGCTAACCTGTCAATTCGCCACCATGAACGTGGTTTTTGCTGTAAAGCAATACATTTCCAAAATGATAGAGGACAGTGGACCTGGCATGAAAGTACTTCTCATGGATAAAGAGACGGTGAGTTTGCTTTTGCTCAGTGTTTGGGCGGGGGGGGGACCCTCCTCCCTTGCAATAGCTGGTCCCATGCCACTGTAGGGTTTAGCATTTAATTAAAGATTTGTAAGTTCAGCATGGAACTGAAAGGCTTTATAAAGCTTGCCTAGATGGTTTTCATTCTGAATGATTCTAACTACTGCCAGAGAGACTTCTTGTACCCAAAACGATTGATTGAAATCAGAAATCCTTTTCTAAATGCCTCTGCCAAGAAATGATATATAAGACAGACCACTGGGAAGACTTTGGGATGGTCCTGTTATTTCCACTCAGCGTTGTGTTTTTAAAGTAAAGCTATTAGAGCTCAAACTGAGATGACAGGTTATTATTTATCGGTCACAAAATTTAAAAAAAAAAAAAAAGGTGGTGGGAAACTTTTTATTTGTCAATGTATGGGTTGTCCGTGTTCAGAGAGAGCATTTCATTCTGGTATATTACTTATTATTTTAGATGCTCAGTAAATGTTATTACATAGGTTAGTATTTAAGTTATCCCAGTAAGTAGTATTAATGAAAAAAAATTTTTTTTAACTCTTAGGTATTGCTACTTGTTTTTATTATTCTGGACTAGCATAATATTAGTTACTTTTTTTCTTTACAGACTGGCATAGTGAGTATGGTATACACACAATCGGAAATTCTCCAGAAGGAAGTGTACCTTTTTGAACGCATTGATTCTCAAAATCGAGAGATCATGAAACACCTGAAAGCAATTTGTTTTCTTCGACCTACCAAGGTATTACATAAACAGCTGTCATCTGCTTAGGCAAATACAGCACACTGATCTGGAAGTATTATGAAGGCAAAATAAGTTTCTGTTATCATCATTTGTGGCATCATAATTATACTGGCTTATCAGTTATAACCTTGACTTTCCTCCTTTCCATATCTCAGTCATTCCTCACAGCTAGATTTCCTTCAAGATGTTATGTAGGTTCTCAGCTACTTGCAAAGCCGCTAACTGCCCTGAGACCCACATCTCTTTATTCTTAATGAAACTCCACACCTATCACACTGAACACCATTACCATTTAATCTTACATAGCTATGTCAGTGTTTTGAGTCTTTATCGTTTTATTCATATCTATGTTTAGGAATCTTTAATAGCTCAATTTTACTTCCCTGACATATTTAGTAGCCCTCAGAGCTCTCCTCTAGCTGACCTGGTCTGCCCTTATGTATTCAGGCTTGTATGTCCTGTCTCTGCTCCTCCACTGCAGCCAAATAGGCCTTTGTATGATCCTTCTACATGCTCACTCCTGCCCTGTTTATTCTTTTCTCCTAATTAAAGGTTCTTTAGCCTTCTGTCAGTTTTCATCCACTATCTTCGAAATCTAACTTGAATCCTCCTTTAAAAATCCTTTACTATTTGTCTTATTTTGTAAATTCTCTTGATTTATATTCATGTTCTTAACTCCAGTGCTTGTATATTATGTACTTTCCAAGATGCAAATCTGACCGTTTCACCACCCTTGAAATCCTTGAATGATTTCTCATTGCTTTTATAATAAAGACACAACTCCTTCTTAAGTGTGGCCTACAAGGCCATGTATGGTCTAGTTCTTACTATTTCTATAGCCTCATTTCAAACCATTCCCCGTTTGGTCTTAGCCACACTATTCTTTCAGTCTGCTATATTCCATCATGGCGCAGGACCTTTGCACTGGTTTCTCTGTTTGCCTGGACAATCTTCACTCCCTCAAGCAAATCTTTCCTGGCCTTGCTGACCAGGTCAAACCCCCCTCTCATAAATACTTACAGCACCATCTTCTCTGGCCTATTACTTGTCATGGTTGAAGTCTCATATGATTTGTATGATTAATTAATATCTCATGTACCAGCAGTAAGTTCCTGGAGAGCAGATATGATGTCCATATTTTCACACTACTATGTCCCCAGTGTATACCACATAGCAGATACTCAATAAGTAATTCTGGATTAATTAATGTATCAAGTATAATTCTTTTGTTATAGTAGTTTCCAATTGTTTCTTATTAGTCATGAAATTTTGGTTCTGAGAGGGGTCTTAAAGATAATTTACTCCATCATTGCCAAACTTTTTTTTATTAGAGAAGCTCTTTCACAGCCTTATGTATATGTTCTCTCAAGCTTAAAATGTGTTCTTAGAAACAATTTTTCCTTACAATTACATTTAAAGTTAATTTTTTAAAGTTAATTTTTAATATGGTTTACAATTTAAATGACAGTTTTTAAGGTCTTTTATCCATTTAACAAGCAATATGTATTGCTTACATTACTTTTCATTCTGTAAGGAAATGTATGGTTTTTTAACATTCAAAAATGATATTTTATATCATGTATAGTTTGGAGATCAACTTTATACTGAAATTTAGCCATATGTTATAGTTTCAAAAGTAGATAAAACCTGCATTATGGTCTTACGTAATTGGAAGTATGTTTTGACCATTTGAAAATCAGTTGTTTTTTATTTCTAAATTTCATGTTTTATTTTTAAATAATGTGATTATACAAAAGGCCTTAGCCTACTGTTTATAAATACTTCAAAAATACTGCAGTTCTGCCACTTTTGGTCCCAATAAGTTAAAAACCCAAGTGAATATAATTAACTATATTTTCTCTTGAATGTTGGTTTTTAAAGGACTAGACAAATTTTGACGTTCTACAAAAAAATAAGAATTTTGATCAGATGAATACAAATTTACAGACAAACAGCTTGAGGCAAATTTGCATAATTATTATCTATTTTATGTTGTATTTCAACATCTATGTACTTTATATTTTTTAATACTAATTTGGCCAGAGCAGTGCAGCTATATCACATATGATTTGATCATTATATTTAATGTATCTCTTTTATCCCCAGTCCTCACCCTTCCCAACATAGGCACACTTAATCTAGACCTCAGCACAGTAGACTCTTAGTAAATACTTAAATAAATCAGTGGATGATACATATTTATTACTTCATCACTTAAGCGGTTTTCCTCATTTTGTTTGTTTATTATTTTCTTTTCTAGGAGAATGTGGATTATCTGATTCAGGAGCTCCGAAGACCTAAATACAGTATATATTTTATTTGTAAGTATTTTTTCACCTGTTCAATCATATAACTAAATCCTAGCTAATATGTTCTACTAGGTACTGCATATCATCAGTAAATTAATTGAATCCAACACTCTAAGAGTCTGGTGGGTGTTTTGTCCTTCAAAGTATTACCAGTGTTGGACCAACATTCTGTTTCTGAGAGCTGAATGTGGTTTCCACTCATCATTGACTGCTTAGGTTAAAAAAAAAAATGTAAGCTTTACCTTGCCTTTCAAATTTCTTTATAAGTCAAAAGTTGTAAGTAGTTAACTTTCACATTCCACCTTTGCCAAAAAATGTATATATACTTATTCCTATTTTACACTTATGAACTGAGGCATAGAAGCCAGTTTATTTATTTGGAGGGAGGATATAGTTGAGTTTGTTGGAAAAGCAGAGATTTACTTTATATACCATTCTTCTCTTTAAAACTTTATGTAATACTTGAAAGTAAAAGTCATCAGATATGTATGTCCTATTTGCACCACTTTTGGGGAGGAAAAGAGAGGTGGAGGCCTGGAAATAAACTAGGTTTGTTTATTGTATGATTTGTTTAATCATATAATTTATATGTTTTTTTTCTAATCTAATACATTTTGCTTTGGAAGTTACATCTTTTCTCCTCTAGATGTCATTATTGATCTTTATAACATTAATGTAGCTTACTTAAAAGTTTTGGAGTTTTTGGGTTTAGACTATAGTCTAAGACATACATACTTTCTTCAGGATATATTACAATTTAATAATGGTACCAAATATTAACATTTGTGATAAGACACTGTATTTTATAAAAACTCTCTCATATATTATTTTATTCAGCCTTTAAAACAACCTCAGGAGGTAGAAATAGGCAATTGTATTCATTTCTATTATCCTACTTTTGTTTTTGTCATTTTCTTTTCGGTTAATAATCACAGGTTTTCATTTTCAATTAAACTTTTTCTTTTGAGATAATTGTAGATTCACATACAGTTGTAAGAAATAATACATAGATCCCATATACTGTTTACTCAGTGTCCCCTATCGAATCATCTTACATGACTATAGTTCGGTATCACATCATGCCATATTGACATTGATACAGTAAGGATGCAAAGCATTTCCATCTTCCTAGGATCCCTCACATTGCATTTTGTCTACTTCCCTCCCATCCCAGCCTCCTCAGTAACTTCTGGCAACAACCAACCTATTTTCCATTTGTATAATTTTGTCATTTCAATAATGTCATATAAATGGAATCATGCAGTATATAACCTTCTGAAATTGGCTTTTTTTTTTCATTCAGCATAATTCTCTAATGATTCATCCAGGTTGTTGTGTATCAATACTTGATTTTAAAAAAAAAATTTTTTTTTAATTTATTCCATGGTATGACTATACCACAATTTGTTTAACTATTCACATAATGAAGGACATCTGAGTTGTTTCTAATTTGGGCTAATACAAATAAAGTTGTTATAAATATTTGTGTACAGGTTTTTGTGTGAACAGAAGTCTTTATTTCTCTGTAATATGTAATTCCCAGGAATCAATTGCTGGGTCACCTGGTAGCTGCATGTTTCATGTTTTTAAAAACTACTAAATGTTTTCTGGGATGACTGTGCCATTTTACATTTCCAGTAGCAATATCCGGGCGATCTAATTTCTTTGTATCCTAACAAGCATTTAGTGTTGTCCCTGGTTTTCATTTTAGCCATTCCGATACGTATGTAGTCATGCAGTAATTTTTTAGTCTGCTTACAATCTTGGTTCTCAGGATAGGAAAGTATAGAATCTTTGTATTCAGACACACACACACACACACACACATTTATAGAAAGAGATTGATTCTCCATGCTGCCAAATCTATGTGCACATTTAATAGAATCACTGTTTTGCTAAGTCTCTTAGCTAAAACGTGAATAGATCATGACATAAAAGACTTTCTTTTTCCTCTGAAGAGTTATCTGATGTAGTAGCCAAGATTAATAATGAATAATAAATCTGGTACTTACTCTTCTGGTTCTAGAGATTGATTTAGGCCATGAATCTATGAAGTTGAAAAAAACAATTATATATGTTAAAGTAGTTAGCACTAAGCCTAGGAAAAATAGACTGTTGAAATGTCTTGGGTGGAGCAATTTCACAGTTTAATTTAATTGAAATAAACTAAAATGAGTTTATATGTCTGATTTTATTCTTTATAGACTTTCAGCACAATTTATATTAGCACTAAACTGGCCTCTGCTCATGTCATTTTTTAATAGTTTTATTTTTGTATATTCTTATGTCTACTAAATATCTTGTGTGGCATACTAAATATCTTAGTATGCCATCCTTTACTTAAAAAAAAACTTTATTGTGGAAGTTTTCAAATATGTACAAAAGTACACAGAAGAGCCTAATAAATCCCAGTGTACCCATCACCCAGTTTCTACACTTACTGTACCATGACCAATCTTGTTTCAGCTGTACTGTTATCTACTCCCTCATTAACATTATATTGAAAAAATCTAACAGATCGTATGATTTCATCCATAAATATTTCCATGTGCATCTTTAAAAGATAAGGACTCATTTTTTAAATATACCACTAGTACATCCAAACAATGAAAAGTAATTTCATTCAGTGCTCAAATTTCAAATTCTTTCATGCCTTTTTTTTTTCCTGCTCAGTTTGTTTGAATTAGGATCATAGTAAGGTCCACACATTGCTACTGAAAGATACATTGTTGAAATTTCTTTAATCTTCTATAGTTCCTCTCTCTAACTTCACCCCCCACACAGTCTATTTATTGAAGAAACCACAAAGCCACGTCCTTCTGTTAGTCTCCTTCAGCCTGGATCTTGCTGATTACATCCACATGGGATAGTTTAACATGTTCTTTGCAATTTAAAATGTTCCTCTGTCCTTCAGTTCCTATAAATTGGTACTTGGATACACAGGTTTAATTCAGTTCAGATTTGATTTCTTTTTGACAAGAATATTTCATCAGCAGTGTTGTGTGCTTCCGTTGATTATCTTACTGTGGTACTAGCAAAGGTTAATGCTCAATATTGAGTTCCATCCATTGATTCATTAGGAGTTGGAAAAAAAGATGGTGTTTTAATTCTATCGTTATCATTCCTGCTTTGCTTTTTAGCTGGAAAATTGCTATAAGAGTTTCCCCTCGTCTATTAATTCTATTTGGTTATCTGATGGTACCATTCAGTTCAGTTCAGTCACTCAGTTGTGTCCAACTCTTTGCGACCCCATGAACTGCAGCACGCCAGGCCTCCCTGTCCATCACCAACTCCCGCAGTCCACCCAAACTCATGTCTGTCGAGTCGGTGATGCCATCTATCTCATCCTCTGTCGTCCCCTTCTCCTCCTGCCCTCAGTCTTTCCCAGCATCAGGGTCTTTTCAAATGAGTCAGCTCTTCTCATCAAGTGGCCAAAGTATTGGAGCTTCAGCTTCAACATCAGTCCTTCCAATAACACCCAGGACTGATCTTGAGGATGGACTGGTTGGATCTCCTTGCAGTTCAAGGGACTCTCGAATCTTCTCCAACACCACAGTTCAAAAGCATCAATTCTTCGGTGCTCAGCTTTCTTTATAGTCCAACTCTCACATCCATATGTGACTACTGGAAAAACCATAGCCTTGACTAGACGGACCTTTGTTGGCAAAGTAATGTCTCTGCTTTTTAATATGCTGTCTGGGTTGGTCATAACTTTCCTTCCAAGGAGTAAGCGTCTTTTAATTTCATGGCTGCAGTCACCATCTGCAGTGATTTTGGAGCCCAGAAAAATAAAGTGAGCCACTACACCAGAAACTATAAAACTCCTAGAGGAGAACATAGGCAAAACACTCTCCGACATAAATCACAGCAGGATCCTCTATGACCCACCTCCCATAATATTGGAAATAAAAGCAAAAGTAAACAAATGGGACCTAATTAAACTTAAAAGATTTTGCACAACAAAGGAAACTATAAGCAAGGTGAAAAGACAACCTTCAGAATGGGAGAAAATAATAGCAAATGAAGAAACAGACAAAAGGATTAATCTCAAAAATATACAAGCAACTCCTGCAGCTCAATTCCAGAAAAATAAATGACCCAATCAAAAAATGGGCCAAAGATCTAAACAGACATTTCTCCAAAGAAGACATACAGGTGGCTAACAAACACATGAAAAGATGCTCAACATCACTCATTATCAGAGAAATGCAAATCAAAACCTCAATGAGGTACCATTACACGCCAGTCAGGATGGCTGCTATCCAAAAGTCTACAAGCAATAAATGCTGGAGAGGGTGTGGAGAAAAGGGAACCCTCTTACACTGTTGGTGGGAATGCAAACTAGTACAGCCACTATGCAGAACAGTGTGGAAATTCCTTAAAAAACTGGAAATAGAACTGCCATATGACCCAGCAATCCCACTCCTGGGCATACACACCGAGGAAACCAGATCTGAAAGAGATACGTGTACCCCAATGTTCATCACAGCACTGTTTATAATAGCCAGGACAAGGAAGCAACCTAGATGCCCATCAGCAGACAAATGGATAAAAAAGCTGTGGTACATATACACAGTGGAATATTACTCAGCCATTAAAAAGAATTCATTTGAATCAGTTCTAATGAGATGGATAAATCTGGAGCCCATTATACAGAGTGAAGTAAGCCAGAAAGAAAAACACCAATACAGTATACTAACGCATATATATGGAATTTAGAAAGATGGTAACGGTAACCCTATATGCAAGACAGAAAAAAAGACACAATGTATAGAAGAGACTTCTGGACTCTATGGGAGAAGGCAAGGGTGGGATGATCTGAGAGAACAGCATCGAAGCATGTATATTATCAAGTGTGAAATAGATCACCAGTCCAGGTTGGATGCATGAGACAAGTGCTCGGGGCTGGTGCACTGGGATGACCCAGAGGGATGGGATGGAAAGGGAGGTGGGAGGGGGGTTCAGGATGGGGAACACATGTAAATCCATGGCTGATTCATGTCAATGTATGGCAAAAACCACTACAATATTGTAAAGTTATTAGCCTCCAACTAATAAAAATAATTGGGAAGAAAAAAAATAAAGTCAGCCACTGTTTCCCCATCTATTTCCCATGAAGTGATGGGACTAGATGTCCATCTGGTGGTACAGTTGGGATATAAAAGGACAAATACTTATTTCTTTCTACGTATTTGCTCTTTTCAACATAATGATTTGGTTCCTTGGCATCCTCCAATGCCTATAATGATGGTTCCTTTTTTTTTTTAATATTATGAATTTACAGATTTAAACATTTGTGCTATTCATTCCAATGTGAAGGTGTTTGACTTATACCACAATGTAAAGTATAGTACCACATATACTAAACTTCACTTAGTTCATTAGACTTTAACTGTCAGGCCCCCTTATGTCTATAACAAAAATTATCTCCTCTGAATAAACCATAACTTACATGTCTGTTTCAGATTTCAGTAATGTGATAAGCAAGAGTGATGTGAAGTCATTAGCTGAAGCTGATGAACAGGAAGTTGTGGCTGAGGTTCAGGTAAATATATTGGTCCTCTAACATACCTCTTTATTGGCCCTTTCTAAAGATTTGAGTCTATAGATAAGGAAAGTGCTATCTCTTAAGAAAGGAGGCTATTGATCAGACACAATAAATGTGAATTGCATCACACTCTACTCATATATATATAGAAAGTTTGGAAGATGTATCAAATTGAATGGGAATAGAATTTAAAAAGTCCGTGGGAATAAGGAGATTGGAATGGTACTGGATTGGTAGGGAGGGTTTCACAGGGTTGGAGTCAGAGCCAGTTATGTTTTATAAAGGTAGTCTTATGAGCTATGCTATGAGAATGTTCCTCCGCGCAGTTATAGTTTATGTCTGATTGGGAAAGAATAAGAAGTAAAGGATGAATGAGGTTTGTGAAAGTTCTGTTTGTGATTATCTTGCTTTGGGAATAAGCAGAGTGGTCATTAGGTTAAAAGTTAGAAACTCTTCAATATTCTACATGCTACATGGAATACCTCACGTTAGAACATTTCATGTTACCTTTTCCTTCTTAAACCCTTTAGTGTTCTTGAATACATTTATCACAAATGTTTTAAACACATTTATCACCTCAGTGAAGAATATCATCCTCAGGGGAGCAAATAAGCAAGTTTTGGATTTTTAGAAGGATGTGCTAGGTGATAAATTAATAAAAAAGAATGACCTATTTTAAATCACATTCTCCCTCATGAGAATACACTGGATAGCAATGTTCTTATTCGTCTGAGTGTAACATTGTATATCTTTAGCAGTGTTTTATTTTTACTAATTGAAAAGTCTCCTTAAATATGATATGTATACTTATACAGCTTTTGTTTTTGATTGGATTTTATTTTTAAGATTTATTTTTGCTTCTATTCTATAATTGTCTTATTAATTCCCTCACATTGACTATTGTTACTCAGTTGTTAATTGATCGATTTTTCTTTTTTATACCTGCATTTCCTCCAATTTGATTGTATCACATAGTATTATATCACACATGAAAAATATTATTGCATGAAACAGTTAGGAGTTTGTGGAATAACTGACTGATCTTGGTGCTTTGTTTGCAGGAATTTTATGGTGATTACATTGCTGTGAATCCACATTTGTTTTCCCTCAATATTTTGGGTTGCTGTCAGGTATGGAAAGAAGGAGGTTTTTGTTTGTTTGTTTGTTTATCAGATGGAAGTTAATTCAGTAAGTAATTGGACTTGTAAGAAAAAATTCAAATATGTTCTATGAATGTATGTTTTTAACAAAAAGGGTCGAAATTGGGATCCAGTCCAACTATCCAGAACAACTCAAGGACTGACAGCTCTCCTTTTATCTCTGAAGAAATGTCCAATGATTCGTTATCAGCTTTCATCAGAAGCAGCAAAGAGACTTGCAGAATGTGTTAAGGTACGGCATTCTGTATCCTCAGTTCCAAAACATCAAGACCATTCATTTCCTTATCATATTTCGGAAACTAAAGGAATATTTTCTCTAAAACCAAGGAGATGATATGTTAGGTTTATTGGCAAAGAGGTAGGAATTATATTTTAAGACCCAAGGCAACAAATTAGAGCTAAGATTCTTAGGTTTAACTCAGGAAACATTTGCAAGCTACTTAACTTCTTTTGATCCAGTTAAAGTACTTGCAAAATAAGAGTTTCAAATCCTAACTCCTTAAACAGAATGCTACTAAAATTTTGTCAAGCTTTTGAATCCTTTTATGGGAGGCCTGTGAAAGTGCAAAAAAACTATTGTAAATGTGGTTTTTATGTATGAATTTTCTATTTATGTCATCTCTATCTGCTCCCAATTGGTTGACCAAACGTCTTTCTGTCTTACCCACAGCAAGTGATAACTAAAGAATATGAACTGTTTGAATTCCGGCGGACTGAGGTTCCTCCACTGCTACTTATTTTAGATCGCTGTGATGATGCCATCACCCCATTGCTAAACCAGGTGCAGAGCCCTTTGTTAGCACAATGGAAGGATGATTTCAAGTGGTATTCATCAAAATGCAGATGTGGAAATGAACATGGTCCCATTTATTTGCCTCCTTATTTTCAGCTATTCTTGTTTTTGCCTTGTATTTCCTAGTATTCTGGTATCAGTGTTCTAGCCACAGTCATCTTCAACTCTTGCTTCTGCCTCTTCCTTCCTATCTCTTTCTGCCACCATTCCTAATTAAGGCAACTTCTAAATTCTCTGGTTTCCATGATGGCTTAGCTGTGAAAAATCTGCCTGTAATGCAGGAGACACGGGTTCAATTCCTGGGTTGGAAAGATCCCTGTAGGAGGGCATGGCAACCCATTCCAGTATTCTTGCCTGGAGACTCCCATGGACAGAGGAGCCAGGGTCACAAAGAGTCATACATGACTGAAACAACTGACCACGCATGCACACTAGGTTCCGTAGATTCTGCTTTTCCAGTGTCTATCTGTTCTTTCCCATTTATATTGCCTTATCTTGGTGTAACTAAGATACTTGATACTTGCTGTATCTTTTACAGCAGTAGTCCCCAGCCCTTTTGCCACCAGGGACAGGTTTCATGGAAGACAGTTTCTGCACGGACAGGGCTCGGAGGGAGGGCAGCCAGAGGGGGGGTGGTCTGGCCTTGTATGACAGTGTTCAGGTAGTGCAGTCTATGGGGAGTGGCAGATGAAGCTTGGCTACACTCGCTCACCCACAGCTCACCTCCCGCTGTGCAGTCTGGTTCCTAACAGGCCAAGGCCACTACCAGTCTGCGGCCCAGGGGTTTGGGGCCCTGTGCTATAGGAATTCTGAAATAGTCATCTACTTGATCTCCCAGTTTTAATTACTTTCCACTGTAATGTATCTCACAGATACAATGTTATTAAATTACTTTTACTAAAGCTCACAGCTCTTATCCTATTACTCCCGACTTAAAAATCTTACCTGTTTCCCATTTGCCTGCTGGATTAAATACAGACTCCTGAACTTGACCACCATGATCCTTCATAATGTGGGCTCAACCTTATAGAAAACCTGCAGCTCACTACTGTGTAGATATGCATCATTATTCTCTGCCATCATTGTATTCGTGTTGTGACCTCGATCTGAACTCTGGAGTGTTTGGAATACATTTTCTTCCCATCTTCACCTCTTAAACTTCTTACTTTTTAAAACCACTTGAAACATCTCCTTGAAGCTTTTACTCTTTGGTCAGATATGATTTTTTGTTTTTCCTTCGAATTACTGTAGAACTTTTTCTCTCATGTCTCATACTGCACTTTCTATGTTGTATCTTTGTTTTCACATTTTCCTAGGTTATACATCCCTTCAAGGCAGACTATGTCTTACTAATGTTTGTTCTGTGAATTCAAGTGCAGTGCCGTACAGTTTGTAGATGCTTTATTAATAGTGACTTTAAATTTGTAGGAAAAGGCACAGTCTATATTTCAGTTCCATCTCAGCTTATAGTAATGTTAATGCTAGGGGAAATCTGTGGCTGTGGAGTATAACTCCTCTATGATACGATAGCCTTATATTCTTAAAATTCAAAGTAATATAACTTTACACATTTTATATATTATATATTTTATATACTTTTAGTAATAATTAAAGAAATTTTGACAGTGTAAAAAAGTAGAAAGAAAAATAATTGCCTATAATTCTGTTTCCCAAAGAAAAGCAATCATTCATTCAACAGATTTCACTGAGGACCTGTTAGGTACCAGGTACTGTATTAAGTACTGGAGATAGAAGTTTAAAAGATACAGTCTCTGTTCTCAAAGAGTTCATGATCCAATGAAGAGAAAGTAAACAGATCATTTTAATTATGAAGTATGTGCTAATGGCAAAAGCATGCACAGGATGCTGTGTATGAAGCATAAAACATTTTGTTGTACTTACTTTAAATGCTCTAATGAAACTTGTTTTTTCAAGGATTCATTTGGCAAATATTTTAGGAAATAAAGTGCCTACTTTTATAACCTATTATGTTATTATAACAAATCTAGATTATTTATATATGTATACACTTATATAAATATTTAGTTTTAGACTCTAGATTTAGGGGGTAATTTGCTGGAAAATACTGTTTTCTCTAACGGGCCTATGACTAAAAGTAACCTATTCTCCGTAAAAGGTGAGAAGGCAAATTTTGGGGTTTCTCCTTTTCAGTTTTACCAAATAAGTTCACATTTTGTAAAACTGGAAGCCCATCCTTCTTCACAATGCATATTAGGTAAAAATATAAAATAAAATGGATTCACAAGCAACTTTCTGAATATGCATGTTTTGATCAACCTACAAGGTTTTTTCTGATAATATTAGTGTTACCAGGATAAATATAGCACTACTCAGATCTGCAAGAACACACGTCTCATGCTGCAGAAAAACCACAGACGCATACAGGAAATGGTACAGCTTATAACTGCAGTACCAATATAGCCCTATCTGTGAAGCCAAAAATATACTCTTAATTCACAGGCAAAAATTGGAGCTAATGATAGATCTAATTTGTTTTCTTTCTATCAGGAATATTAATATGGCTGCCCTTCTTCCAAAAGTGTGAAATCTAAAAGTATTTTGACTTTTGGATGTTTAACCAATTAAAATGAGAATATTAATGCTTAGTATAGCACAAAATATTAATAAAATTTGAGCTAAATAGAGAACCTCCATGTAAAAAAGACTAGTTTACTAAGAATATTATCAGTTTTTGTTTTCCTGCCAATTAATATTTCCACATATTATCAGTTACTAATTTTTTTGTCATTATTCTTTATCTAGTGGACATACCAGGCCATGGTCCATGAACTACTGGGTATAAACAACAATCGGATTGATCTTTCCAGAGTGCCAGGAATCAGTAAAGATTTGAGAGAAGTGGTCCTATCTGCTGAAAATGATGAGTTCTATGCTAACGTAAGTGGTTTAAAGTTCTTTTTAAATGTTTCTATGTGAGGTTAATCCTGATTTGTTAGAATGAGAGCAGGTGTGGGATTTCGTGTGGAAAGATGAGAGAGACATCCTGTAGATAAACTACATCTCAAGGGAAGACAGAAGACTTTTTTCTAACCCTTCAACAATACTTTTTTCTTAGTAATCATGTACTTAGTTTTGTACTTTAAAAATTAGAACCCAGTTTATTTACTGCCCTCCTGTCCGTAGCTCTTTGCGAGATTAGTAGTGGTATTCATCACCAGTGTCCTGGACAATATCCAGATTTGGTAATTACAATGAAATTTTCTTGCCCTTCAATTCTAACTGTATTCATTGTTCTTTTTCACTTCTTATAAGTTGTCTGAAAGTCAGCCTAGTGGATAGAACTGTGTTTCCAACTTCCTTTTTCACAGAATATGCACCTGAACTTTGCTGAGATTGGTAGCAACATAAAGAATCTCATGGAAGACTTTCAGAAGAAGAAACCAAAAGAACAGCAAAAACTAGAATCAATAGCAGACATGAAGGTAAATTGAACATGTACATGGATGACTAACATGCAAGACTTTGGAACTATTCATGTAAGCAACATTTCTGGAATATTCTGGGTCTGATTTCTGCCTTAATTCCTTTTGTTTGGTTCAAAATCATTTTCTGTTTCTCTTTAGGAAGCAATATAGTGAAAACTTCATAGTAAGCCATGAACTTCTTTCCTTTCTTCAGTCATATTTGAACTATTTAATTACTCAGTCTACTGACATATACCAGTCCTTCTCTTCTTAAGCATAACAAAATGCTGTGTGATTGAAAGTTTTAGATGCCTTAGTCTGGGCAGAAGAATAATCCCTTCCTTTTTTTTTCTCTTCTTCATACATGCCTGTCCTCAAGAAATAACAGAACCCCCAGTTGATGTTTTTCTCATGGCAGGCCTTTGTTGAGAATTACCCACAGTTCAAGAAGATGTCTGGGACTGTGTCGAAGCACGTGACAGTGGTTGGAGAGCTGTCCCGGCTGGTCAGTGAGCGGAATCTGCTGGAGGTTTCAGAGGTCGAGCAAGAACTGGCCTGTCAAAATGACCATTCTAGTGCTCTCCAGGTACCTATTCAGTCCAACTGATGAGCACCTACTGTAGTAAGCCACTGTGGCAAGCAGAGCAGGCAGTACGAAGGCAAGTGATCCTTCTTAACCAACATGGAGTCTACAGTCTAACAAGGAGTTGAGACAGGAACACAAATTAGTATTATTTAAGATAGATGGGCTCCCCTGGTGGCTCAGATGGTAAAGAATCTGCCTGTACTGCAGGAGACCCAGGTTCTATCCTTGGATGGGGAAGATAGCCCCTGGAAAAGGAAATGGCAACCCACTCCACTATTGCCTGGAAAATCCATGGACAGAGGAATCTAGTGGGTTACAGTCCGTGGGGTTCCAAAGAGTTGGACAGGACTGAGTGACTAACACCCACACAAGATAAATAGATGATAAGAGACACAGGAGAAGAAAAAATGTGCAGTTCCTCAGGGTTCAGGCAATTAACTGAGTGTTTAGGAGGGCAACCCAGTCAACTAGAAAGAATGCTAGACTAAAATCAGAAGATCTAAATTTTAGTGTTTGAAATGCCTCTACTGCCTTTGGGACCTGGAGCTGTTGGCTTAATTTCTTAGACATTTTCCTTATTTGTCAAATAGGTATAGTGATATGTATCTCACAGGACTGTTAGGAAGATTTAAAGATACAATATCTATTAAAATGCTGGCGTCACCAACTCGATGGACATGAGTTTGAGCAAGCTCCGGGAGTTGGTGGCCTGGTGTGCTGCAGTCCATAGGGTCACAAAGAGCTGGACGTGACTGAGCAACTGAACTGAAGTTTGTACTATTGAGCATCTGCTTTTTATTCCACAATCATGTGAATGCCTGCTCAATGTACATAGTACAATGAGTATCTAGAGGAACAAAAATAAATAAAATACTTTTTCCTCAAAGAGTTCACATATTAATAAGGGAGAAAGAAATTTAAACTAGGAGTTATAATGTATGCAATAAGTGCTATACTAGAGGTATTACAAAGGGATATGGAAATACAGAGGAAGGACGGCTGTTTTTCGTAAGGATGTGGCTTCTTAGAGAAGATGATATTACTTTTCAAGAAAAGAAATTCTCAGCAGAGAGAATGCAGACATGGAGATGTTAAGGAAAAAAACCAAGGGAACAGAGGCTAACTCAATGTAGCTAGTGCTGGATACAAGATGAGGCACGGTCTTAGACAAGCCAGATTGAGGCCTGGGTATGGCCACTAAAAGGAGATTGGGCTTTAATCTTAAAATGACAGGAGCTATCAGAGGATTTTAGCAGAAAAGCAACATAATCAGACAATTAGGCAGCATTTCAAGTTAATATTTAAGTCAAAGTTGTGGTACTGACTATAGTAAGTTTTGAGGTTATTAGGGACAGTTTCTTAGAGAAGGTGATATTTAGATGGACTGTAAATAATGAATAGAATCTGGAGGAGGATTTCAGCAAAGCAAAGATGCAGAAGTATGCAAAAAAATAATAAACAGCATGACCTGTTGAGAGTGGGTGTGGAAGAGAAATAGGAGATAAAATTGAATTGGTAAACAGGAGCTAGTTTATGAAGATGCTTGTGAGAGGAATTTGTATTTGCTGAGATAGGCAAAGAGATCCAGCATAGAGTCTTGTGTAGAAGTCGATATGATGAAAGTAGTATTTGAGGAAATTTAATAAGGATGCTTTGGAGGTGAAAAAATTAAAACCAGGGAGGCTAAAAAAACTCTTCATAGTAGTAAAAATGTACAGACCGACAAATATGAAAGACAATATCAAAGGGAGAAAATAATTTAGATACAGATTGGCTATAAGGATAATAAGAGAGAACAAATCAGAGATAATTCCAAAGTTCCTGAGACGTGACAAAATGTGGTATCACCGACAGTAAGTAACTTGGGAATGAGACTCCTTTGGGAAATGGCTGTTTCTAAGCCATTTATTATAAGAAGCACATTTCCTTACTAATAGGACCCTATATTCTAAATCCTAGTCTCTTTCTCTCTTGCAGTTCTACTTTATAAAATAAAGCCAGCATGGTATAATGGAAGCAACACAGGGTTTGCAGCCAGACTGTCTTGACTTATGTCCTGTCTCTATGTATCAGCATTTCTTTAGGAAAATTACTTATTTTGCCCAAGCCTATTATAAAGTTTGATAATGATTTCAAACTTTTAGGTTGTTATCAGGATTCAGTGAGATGTGAAATGCTTCCCATATGATAGGTGCTTTGTAACGGTTAGTTTCTTTCCTCTTAGCATAATTTTTGGATTTGTTTTGTTGTTGGCTGCCTTGGGCTTCCCTGGTAGCTCAGACGGTAAAGAATAACCTGCAATGTGGGAGACCTCAGTTCGATCCCTGGGTTGGGAAAATCCCCTGGAGGTGGGCATGGCAGTCCACTCCAGTATTCTTCTTGCCTAGAGAATTCCATGGACAGAGGGGTCGTAAAGAGTCGGATACAACTGAGTGACTAAGGACAGCCACAGCCTGGGTCATAGCCGTGGCACTGGGGATCTTTCCTTGGTGCAGGGCCTCTCTAGTTGTGGTGCGTGGGCTTAGTTGCTCCACAGTGTGTGGGATCTTAGCTCCCCAGCTAGGGGTCCAGCTGGCATCCCCTGCATCGGCAGGCAGATTCTCAACCACTGGACCTCCAGGGAGGTCCTTAAGCGCGGTGTTTAGAGATATGATACAATTGAAGGGAACAAATTCACCCACCTGTGGTTGCTCTAGTTATATATACCAAAGCCTTTACTGTGATTTATAGTTGCTGATTTTTACTTTTTAAATTTATCAAGATTTCCTCTTGGTAAACATGATTTTTAAAATCATAGAGATGCTATTTGCTTTATATTTATGAAAAGTACTTCTGTCAGCAGTTCTAATTTTACCTCTGTATTCTTAAATCTTCACAAAGAACTTTTAGGGTGACTATTATTTTTAGTTGTATTAAATTCTAATTCATTTTTAATCAATATTCATTGAAATATTATTGTGTATTGTGTTAACTTCTGCTGTATAGGAAAGTGATTCAGTTTTATATATATATACTTTTTTATATTCTTTTCTAGGATGGTTTAGCATAAGTTTTAATTCTTAAATAGATCATATAAGTATTTGATGAAAGAGATAAATAGTACAAACTGAATCTGTTAGTAGTTTCACTTACATCCTTACTGTTGTTCTGTGTATGTGCAAGCCTATGTGAGTGTGTATATTTCCTTCTCTCTCTTTTTAAAAATTCAGATGATACCATATTGTACACATAGTTCTGCATTTTGCTTTTTCACTTACTTTGTGTCTCAGAGACTGTTCCAGACTAGAACCTAAACACTCATTCTATTAAATCACTAAATAGTATTCCTTTGTAAAGATACTTCATAATCTATTTAACTTCACCAACTTTCTTTAAACAACACTGCTAATAACAGTTTAGAGTTGGTCTGTGGGCCTAATAGAAGTATTCCTATGGAAAACTTTTTATTTTTCTTAATAAGATGAATTTTGTTCTCTTATGAAATAAAAACAGAATTGTGTCCTGTAACTAAATTTAAATTTCCTTATGTTTCTTTATCATTTTAGCTTTCCCTTTAAAACAATAGAACCAAATTAATCACTAGCCAATTTTAGTATCTTTATTTGTATCTCACCATATGGAAAGCAGTTAGAAATGGCTACTATAATTCCTTTGCCTGAAATCTTATTTTTTGTTCATTTTAAAAGAAAAATAGACACTTTAAAATATGAATTCCATTTGTGATCCACTTTGCCAGTACAGCATGCAGGGTTTCCCAACCAGGGATCTAACCCATGCCCTCTGCATTGAGAGCCTAGAGTCTCAACCACTGGACTGCTAAGAAATCCCTATATTTTTAAAAATTATCTTTTGAAGGTTTTCTTGCCCATGGTATTAGGGTTTTACAGTGAGCAGTTGATTTCGACTCCACCACCATAAAGGCTTTCTTTGGCAACATGATGTAAATAGTCAATAAAGAGAACTTCTGTTTAGTAATGAGCAGATGCCAAGGGCCTGACCCGCAGATGGGATACAGCATTCCTTGGCTTGACCTTAGGTGATAATAACGTCATGAAGCAATGAATTGATTTTTGAGTAGAGATGAGGTTTGCTTTATTGAATAGTGATTGTATCATGGTGAGGGAAGAAAAGCTCATATATTGCTAAAAATTAACCTAAAAATTGCTGCCACTAATAACCAGTTATCCAGTCTGATTCAGAAGAATTTCACTAGAACCAAACTGCAATGTACTGTCATTGAAACATATGCATAGCCTTGGAAAAGACTGATTAGTAAGGAAGATTTTTTTTCATACCATAAAGGAAAAATCTTCAGAAAATAAACAATTCCCCTTCCCTCTCTGCGTGGTTGTGTTGTCATATCACAACTTTTCATTCGAAATAAGAATCTAGTCTATTTTATATTCTTCTTTCCTGACCTTGGGTCAAGATCTTAAATCATGCCATTAATAACACATAGGACAATAAATATTTGTTAGAGAAATGAAGGTAAAGAGTTCTGTTTAAAGCAGTATAGAATAGAATAGCAGCTGTAAAGGCTTGAATCTTTGATGTCTTGGGTTTGAAAATGATTCTTAGCCACTCCAGTCTTAGTCTTTTCATCTGTAAAATGGGGGAAATATCAGTACTTAGCTCAAAGATTTTTGTGAGGATCCAGTGAGCTAGTACATCTAAAACACTTAATATGGTACCTGGTGCTTATAACATTCAATGAATGTTAACTATCACTATTTTTAGTATTACTTTTTGATGGTATATTCCCTTTTTTATGGCATCCAGGACATGTTTTTTAATTCACTAGTGATCTTGGAACGCTCTCTGATTTTAGAAAGGCTTTTTTGCTTCTCATTAGAATCATAAGAAAATTGTTTGGGACACATTGAGCTGACAATTTTACTTTGACCAACTAAGATTTAAAATGTTCCTGTCTCTCTAAACCATCATTTAACTAATGTTTCAGAAACAGTGTTGACCAGCAGAAGACCTACAACAAAGCTAAATTTGACTAGTCATTAAGTAAAAGAAACCTGACTCAAATATATTTTCCAGTTAGTGGAACTGGAACTGGATCTCGCCTACTTTCTATCTTTTTTTTCTAGATAAACTCTTTATAGTCCCATAACACTGTTCTCTCAGACTGTAAGATTAGACTCAATTTTAAAATCATATCAACATACTGAAGACTTCTGCCAGTTTCATCTTGCTGTTCTAGTCTGTTAGCTTATAATGCTATTCACTGAGTGTTTTACTACAATACTGTGATAGTAGATAACAGGGTACAGAGCTTGTTCTTTAGGTTAAATTAAAGCCAAAAAAAAGGCAGGGGGGATTATCTTCAGTTGCAGGCTTCAACTGTATTTTGTACAATAGTTTAAAATATAGGTTGTCATTGTCATCTTTTAGTCACTAAGTCATGTCCAACACTTTTGCTACCCCATGGACTGTAGCCCACCAGGCTCCTCTGTCCATGGGATTTCTCAGGCGAGAATACTGGAGTCAGTTTCCCATTTCCTTCTCCATAAAATATAGGTATGTCAATACAAATGTTTTTTTCTTGTGCTGCTTTAGCATAGTTTTGGTAGAAGAAAACAGAAAAGTAGTCAGCCCAAGATAACAGAAGAATCTCTAAATATCAGAATTGTTTTTTAGTTAATGTCTTTTTGAATGAATGTTAGCTCCATTTTGAAACTTGACCTTCACAGATAGTGTTTTTGCATTTCTTTTCCTATTCCTTCATTGGGCCTATACTAATGTTAGGATTCAGTGGAAGATTTTTGAATCCCATCTTCTTAAGTGGACAATAGTTTTCTGTTTCACTCTTTACTCAGCTGCTGTTATTATGTAACAGTATACTTTTCTCTCTTGATTATCTCTAGGTTATGGGAAATTTAATAAGAAAAAAGATACCAAAAAGTCATTATATAATTCAGCCATATTTTCAACCTATAAACACCTCCATGAAGCATATACCTCCTATGTAATTGAAGGCTCTCAGATTCTTTTTCTCCTCTTCCTTGGTTAACACCCTGGAATCTCTGTATAATGTATGTCACTGTTAGTCAAGTTGAGTTAAGTAGCCATGAGAGAAGTAGTTCAAAATTAAGTCAAAGGATAACATGGTATCCAGGCAGACAAAAAGTCCCTGCTTCTTCAAGGACTTACATAACCGAGAAAGAAGAAAGAATTCAGCTTGTACCTCCATGTGTCTTTTCATGAGGAACTAGGCGAGTTTAACTGGAATACTGACCTGAGCCATGGCTTGGGTCCTCAGGGCTCAAGAGAAAGCAGAGTAGTCTTAGACCAGATCTGGGCTATCAGATCACAAGGCCTTCCGTCGAGGGAGAGCTCAGCGTCAAGCCACGGACTCTAAAAACCAGTACCACATTTCAAGGAATAGAAGTGGGAAGGATTTATTAATGGGAAACAGAGCCAGGAATCAAGATTGAAGGGGAGGTAATTAGAAAGGGAGCAAATAGGAAGGGTATAAACTAATTACTGCAAATAGTCTTTGTCACCATTCTGGTTTTTGTGGGTTTATAGTTACTTGAGTATCTCAGGTTTGCTTAGATGTACAACAGAGATCTCAGATGGATGTTTTAAACTTAAGCCAAGTAACTGAGATACTTATGAAATGGTGTATTTTTACTTGATAAGGAATTTGTATCCTGAAATTCCTCCATATTATGATAGAAATTAGTGGAATGTGTGAACAGGCTATTCTAAATAGCCTGTATTTAGTCACTGCTCTATGGAATAGTTACCACAAAAGGGAAAAGAAGTAAGGAAAGTTTTGTGATTACAGGGTTTAAATCTGTAGAAGAGAAATTTCTTCCTTTTTGATCCTGTAAGGATGATGGTAGTGAAATGTTCACCCAGAAAAGCAACAGTAGAAATCCTACTGAGAGAACTTTCTACTTGAAAGCTACCTAGGAGGCTCTGCATTTCATCATTGTCCCTCTTTTTAGTGTGAACAGTAGAGTTCTTAGACATTAGACATGGTTGTCGTGAAGTACTAAAAAGATAATGTATTTAAAAGCATCTTGTAAGTTGCAGAGTACTATACAGATGTTAGTGGTTATGTCCTCAGAATCCAGTGCCCTCCAAAACTCTTACTAGTCTTTCAACTCATTTCTTTCTCTGATTTCCATATCCCTATTAATAGCATTTCTTTCAGTCTCTCAAACTAATTCCAAAGCTTAGTTTTTGAGGCCTTTTGTAGAAATGAAGTCTTTTATGATTCCTCAGTAACTAGGCGGACGTCTCTTTACCTTGTGTTCCCTTTCCCCCACTGCACTGATTTTCAGTTTTTGGTTTTTGCATACATATGTTTCTGTTATAATACCACATATGTGTTCCTGAATAAACTTCACATTCTGCAAAATCATGCACTAAAAATAAACAAGGGTTATGGGAAAATAGGGTTATAAGCAGATCACTTAAAATTTATATAACTAAAAAAGAAAAAAAAAAATCTACATAACTTTGTAAGCAGAGCCCTAATAAAATAATAACAATCCTAATTAAAATGCTAGCATAGTTAAGTTTCCACTGGCATTTGCACCTGGAGAAGGAAATGGGAACCCACTCCAGTTTTCTTGCCTGGAGAACTCCATGGACAGAGGAGCCTGATGGGCTACGGTCCGTGGGGTTGCAAAGAGTTGGATACGACAGCGACTAACACTTAACACTTAGAAATGCACTCAGACCATCCTTTGTGGCTTTTTTTCAACAGATAAGGCCTCAAAAATAATCTGCTTCTCATAGAGACTTGTGTCATCAAAATTAAAAGTACAATATGAGGATATCAGTCAGTTTTGGCTGGTGGTTTTGTTTTTCTTTTTGACACAGATAAACATCTTTGCATTCTTTTCATTTGCATTTTCCCTTTCCCCATGTTGCTTAACATTGTGGAAGGTGCAGCAGTTCTTAAAGCTACAAAGCCAGTTACTTCTTACAAAAAACACTTCTGTTGAATTTTCATCTTTTTTCTTAACATATTGGTGAAGCATGTTCTTTAAAGAGGAAACTTGTCCCTGACCTTTTCTAAATATTAACTTGCTGAAAAATTACATACAAACCAATATGCCTGCTGTGTTATTCCCATGTTTACCAATCTTGTGGAGCTAAAGCACATTAAGAAATGTATTTTATAGCAGAATGAGCTATATTGTTTTATCCTCCTTTACCCCGTTGTCTGTGAACTCACTGAGGCCAGAAAGTAGCTCTAACTCATCTCTGTGTCACCTCCAATGCCTGGCGTAGTACCTTGTGCTTACGAGAGTGATCAAAAGTATTTGTTGGCTCTAATTAATTGGTTCTGCTGCATAATAAACATAAATCTATACTGTAGGGAAGTCTCCTTAAGGGAGAATTGATAAAACCTAAACATCATTTTGTCTATTTTCCTTTGCTGTCAGTACCTGCCCTCTTAAGATCATAAGTGCTCAATTTACAGATTCCCTGCTGTTACATTTTCATATCTCTGTGAACCATGTTGAGACATACGGTTACATATGATGCTTCTTGGAAGTTAAGCCCGTTCTCCTATGTAAAATCCTACCAACGTGTCTTCGTTTCACTGGTCAGTGACTAACACTGAAAGAAGGCAGTAGTTTCCCAAGTCGACTGGTAAGTGCCCTTGTGTGCTGTATTGACCAAAGCAGTAGAACTAGTGGTGGGAATAACATGTATTCCTTATTTCGGCAAGGAAATTGTAATCTCTCCTACATAAGACCCTGGACTATCTCAGTCAAAGGAAAGAAAAGAGGAAGTAACCATGGTTAAATTCATATTTGTCTTAAGCAATTACAATGAGAATTTATGTCCTTATTTAATTCTTACCTTAGGCAAAAGGTGTTTAATTTTCTGTCGCTGAAACAGTTGCTAAGCCTATGACCTGTGCATTGCCTTAGTAGTGATCTTGTGTGCTCAGTCACTTCAGTCGTGTCCAACTCTTTGCGACGCTATGGACTGTAGCCCAAAGGCTCCTCTGTCCATGTGATTCTCCATGCAAGAATACTAGAGTGGGTTGCCCTGCCCTTCTCCAGGGGATCTTCCTAACCCAGGGATCGAACCTGCATCTCCTGTGTCTCCTGCTTTGAAGGAAGATTCTTTACCCACTGAGCCACCTGGGAAGCCCAGTGATCTTAGTCATGCATATCTTAGTCAGATGTATCATTACCATTCAATAATTCTTAGAACTAAGATATTATACATCACCCAAGTGAAGGGAGGGTAAATATCAGTTCTCTGTTTTTTCAGAACGTAAAGAGGCTCCTGCAGAACCCCAGAGTGACAGAGTTTGATGCTGCCCGCCTGGTGATGCTTTATGCGCTTCATTACGAGCGACACAGCAGCAATAGCCTACCAGGATTGATGATGGACCTTAGGAATAAAGGTGTTTCTGAGAAGTATCGAAAGGTAACCAGATTTATATGTGAATCCCACCAAACAGGAACCACCTCTATTGTTACAGCCTTTTAGTTCCGACAGATGATGAGTCATAGTGTTTTTATGGGCTTCCCTGGTAGCTCGGTTGGTAAAGAATCCACCTGCAATGCAGGTGACCCCGGTTCAATTCCTGGGTCAGGAAGATCCACTGGAGAAGGAATAGGCTACCCACTTCAGTATTCTTGGGCTTTCCTTGTGGCTCAGCTGGTAAAGAATCCACCTGCAATGTGGGAGACTGGGTTCGATCCTATTTCTGTCCTCTCATGTCTTCATTTCCTTAATAAAGTTATTTTCTTCCTGTTCCCCAAGCAGTAAGAAGTTGTTTCTCTCTCTCTTTTTTCTTTTTAAAACAAAGCTTGTGTCTGCAGTAATTGAATATGGTGGTAAACGGGTCAGAGGAAGTGACCTCTTCAGCCCCAAAGATGCTGTGGCTATTACCAAACAGTTCCTCAAAGGATTAAAGGTATGTTGCTATGCTTTCCTAAATGCGAAACAGTTGAAGCCCCTGACCCTGAGAGTGAATGAATGTGATCTTCCAAGTAACTTCAGGATTGCTGCTGATTTAGTACTATGCCACTTAAATGAGGGACTTCCCAGGTGGCGCTAGTGGTAAGGAACCCGCCTGCCAATGCAGGAGACACAGGAGATGCGGGTTTGATCCCTAGGTTGGGATCCTCCTGTGGAGGAGGGCATGGCAATCCACTCCAGTGCTGTTGCCTGGAGAATTCCATGGAAGAGGAGCCTGGCGGGATACAGTCTATGGGGTCGCAGAGTCCGACATGACTGAAGCAACTTAGCATGCGTGCGTGAAGTTAAGTGAAATTAAAGCAGATGGTCTCTTGAATGCTTTTTCTTTACTTTTTTTTTTTTTTTAAATACTTTCTGTATTGGAACAGCATCAGCATTGGCCCAAAAAGCTAATAAGGGAATAGTAAGATATTTCCAGGAAATACCCAAGAATAAAAAGGCAGACAGTTTTGTTAGTCATAACTATTTTACTCCATTTGTTTATAATTTAAGGTTTGTCAGGTAATTTCTCTGTGACAGAAATTAAAGATGAAGCAAGCAATTATAAATCTTTTAAAACTACCTATTTTCTTAATATGGCCAAAAGTTAGTTGTAATCTGCTAGCCTTTCTTATGTTTCCTGAAATTTGTTCATTTTCCTGAGTGTGTCTTGTCTCTTTTGCTACATAGTCCTTTTCTTTTTATTTACCTATCATATAATATTTTCTCAAAATAATGAATCAGTGAAGAAATGGTAAGGAATTTAAGTAGTTGCATTTTAAAAATTCATTTATAACAGCCAGCCTTAAATCACAGAGCATTTTCATAAGATTGGAACATTTCTATTGGTGAAAATAATTAACTAAAATTCTCCTAAAATTCCTGCTTGATTCTTAGCCCATCTCTACTGCATGTCCTTTTCTGATATGAGTGTCATTAACAGTTACATTGCACGTTTCAAAAAAAATGACATAAGAACCATTTCCCCCTGTCTTAGGGAGTAGAAAATGTATATACTCAGCATCAACCTTTCTTACATGAGACCCTGGACCATCTCATCAAAGGAAAGCTTAAAGAAAACCTGTATCCTTATCTAGGCCCCAGCACACTCAGAGACAGGTAAGAGAACAAAGATATTAATAATAAAAATCAGAAACACTAAGAAAATAGGAAATTTAGGGTACTATAAGAGACTACAACTGAGATTCTATCATTCTACTCTTCCTTTCCCAGTTGTTTCAATTCTCAGATTCTTCTGGTTTTACATGTGTCAAAGTTAGATTTAAATTCCTCTATCAAGCCTAAAGTATTATTTCTTTTGGAATACAGAAACAGATGTTTTGGAGCACTCCAAATACTTGTGTCCTGTCCGTAAGTATCAGACTAGTTCACTTATGCCATTTAAGGTTCAGTTCCATGGCATCTAGCATTTGGAGTTTCAAACATTAAAGCTGAAAATAGATTTGCTGCTCGATTGCCATCCAGAGCAGGTTGTTACTATTTTTGGCTAGGACTGGACTTTGCCAAATGTGGCCAATATACACACTGAGACCTAATTAACAAAGGCCTTTTGTCACACTGGAGGAAAGGATGGTTTTCTTTTTAGATGTTAACCGAAGGAAGCAATTTTAATCCGGTGGTTCGTTAAGTTTTAATAAAAACAAAACTTGTCCAGAATAAACTTACATAAGCCAGCCTGAAATTTTCAATATACATAAATTCTACCTAGTTATAAATTCTATACAAAAAAAATTTATGTATTTTTTATTGGGACTACATATTATAAACAGCCTAATATATGTAACTGAATCCTATTAGATAGATTGATTTGAGAATTGTTACCATTGGTATAATTCTTCTATTGTTTCAGCTAATTGTAATCTAAGGCCTTGGAAGAATAGTGTTTTATAAATGTAATAAATTTCCAAAAGGAGAAAAATGTTTTGAGGTACATAAATTACTCTTGTATGATAAAAATATATTTTTTCACTTCTTAAAAAAAAAGTGTAGTCTGGTAACAGAACAGAAAAAAATTCTTTTTAAAACTCCAAGGTTGAGAAGCAGAACATCTGGGGTTGAATTCAGACAGTACACTTATTTGGCATCAAAATTTAGAAATGTCAGCAAAGTGGTAAAAAGAAAAGCCAGCCCAAAGCTATTCACCTGAGAGGCTTTTTCAAAAACAGTATAACTCTATTAAATAGCTTTCTAATTAACATGATAAAAGTAAAAATATTGATTTTCTTATGAATTTCATATAAGAATTATTGGACAAGAAATTGGCTAAAGGGATATAATAGATCACCAGAACAGTGGATGATTAGTTCATGACAGCAAACCTTTCTAATTTGGGGAATTCATTTCCAAATAAATTTCAAAATGATGCTCTTCCAGCAAAATGCACAATTTATCAGTTGTCAGCATTTGTTAAAGCATTTGTCACTATTACCTAAATATATATTAATAATTCAATTGCTTCATCCTTTTTTTATAACAAATATTTGAATGCTTTCTATAAGTCACGAACTATTTAAGATGCTGGGGAAGTAGAAGTGAAAGGAAAGGCAAAGTACCTGCCTTAACTTACATGAAGGAGACAGACAGCAAACTAGTAAACAAATAAAAAATATAATTTGAATGAGATAAGTGCTATTCAGGAAATAAATAGGATAATAAGCTACAGAGTATTTTGTCGACGTGGGGAGGGCTACTTTAGATGGAGAGAACCTCTCTAAAGAAGTGATATTGAAGATGAATTTTGAATTACTGTCACATAATAATGAGGAAGAAAAGCATCATAAGCAGAGGGTATACCAGAACAAATTCCTTGAGGAAAGAAAACTTGGCAAGTTCATGGAACAGAAAAAAGTCCAGTGCAGTTGGAGCATAGCAAGTAAGGAGGAAATAAGTTGAGAAGATAAGTAGGGCTGGATCACATGGGGTCTTATAGCCCCTGGTAAAGATTTTTTTTTTTGTTTTTTGTTCTTATTTTTAGTGGCACAGAAAGCCACTAAAGAGCTTTAAACATTCAAATGACATAAACTGAATCATGTATTAAAAGATCAGCTTGTGGGGAGAATGGATTATTGAAGGCAAAGTTAGAAGCAGAAAGACTACTTAGGAGGTGGCTGCAGTAGTCCAGGTAAGAAGTGAAGATGCTTTGGACAAGGAGCCTGGGAGCGAGGGCAGAATCAGTAGACTTACTTAATGGGAGTAGAGTAATGGGACAAGGGTAAGAGAGAAGCCAAGAATAATTCTCAGGTTTCAGAAGGAAATCAAGAGTTTTATTGTTAAAGTGCAGATGTCTCTTAGATAATTGGAAGTGTTCAATGCTAAATTGGAAGTCAACAAGATTTTGGTGACTTAAAGCTATGGGATTAGACTAGATCACTCAGGGAGAGAGCATAGAAGGGGAAAAGAAAGGGCCCAGGACCAAGCACTGAATAGAGAATATGGAGTCAGCAATGGAGACTGAAGAAGAGACAGACAGACAGGAGGAACACCAGAAAAGCTTGATGTCATAAAGATCAAGGAGTGAGTGGTTACCTGAAGACTAGTCTTCTGAGACATAAAAAGTTGAGGACAGTGAAGAATCCATCAGCTTTGGCAATATGAAGGTCTTTGATGACTTTATTCCCCAGTTTCAGTGAGTTTGGAAGCCAAATTAGGGTTACAAGAAATAAGATGGAGATAACAGATACATGTATGTAACACTTTTTAAGAAGTTTTACATGAAGGGGGTCAGAAAATGGGATCGTAGTTAGAAGAGACTGGGCTTGGGGGAAAGAGAAATTCTGGAGCATACTTATAATCTGATGAGAATTATCCTAAAGAAAGAGAAATAGGTAATGCAGAAGAGAAAGGGGAAGAGTTGCAGAAGTGAAGTCTGAGGGAGCTAGAACACCAGCAGAGGAGATTTTGATAGGAGCAGAGGTACTTCTTTCACTGTAATAGCTTTGATGGTGAGAACATGGAAACCATCTTGTCTAATTACTTCTGTTTTTTCAGTAAAATATAACATCAAGCTATTAAGTGAGGTACAAGATAAAAAGAAAAAACATTGTGAAATTGTTATTTTTAGGCTTGGAATCAAATTTATTAGGGAAATGTAAGTAAACCTTCTAAGCAGGGCTGAGTGCCCATTGGAGTTTTGTGGTGTTAGTTTAAAATACAGTCCATGCGCTTAGTTGTGTGGTTTTTCTCTAGCAGCTTTTAACTGCACTAGAGTAAATGAAGAGAAGGCTGATAGCTAGGTTCAGCCAGGATTTGGGGAAATGAAAAAAAGGAAGGTATTGGATAGTGAAAAAAGTATTGTTGAATGAATTGGAGGTATTGATGAGGTCAAGGAATTATTTCTTAGTAGAGATATTGGCATAAGTGAGTTTAAAGTTGAGGGACTGGTTATTAGAGAAAGAACTCTTGAATTCAAGATGGAGTGGGTAGCCGTTCCCTTCTCGAGGGGATCTTCCCAACCCAGGGATCAAACCCAGGTCTCCGACATTGCAGGCTGATTCTTTACCAGCTGAGCCACCAGGGAAGCCCTTTTGTATTGCAGATACTTGTAATGAAAACGTTCATGTTATAATCATGGGTGTTGGTGGCTGTGAGGGATGGAAGAACAAATCAGTATGGGTGAGGAGACTGGGATGTGAGATGATGTTAAAGTCACTGAAAATCTTGAAAGGAGCAAGAATGAAAAGGAGGACAGTAAACCAGAGTTAAAGTCTTCAGGGAATAAGAGAGTGACCAGGAAAGGAGGTCAGGAGAAAACAGTGCAACTATGTCCTGAGCTTCTGAGACAATGAAAATTGTGAAGAAGTCAAAAAATTGGTTATGAAGCTGTGGTAGGAGGCACAGAAGATACCTCTACCACCTCCTGGCCCTGTTCTTAACAGAAAGAAGACCGCAGAGGACTTGAAACGACCTACTAAACAATATACTTTTAAAAATTTGCCATATAGATATACTCACACAAGTACACAAAGACATGTACACAAGGATATTTACCAAAACATCATTTGTAGTGGTGAAAAAAAAAAGAAAACATCCAGAAACAAGGTAAATATTTTTCAATGGAGAACTAGCTACCTAGATTATAGTATATTACTGTGCATTCTTCTTAAGAAATGGCATAACTCTTCATGGCGTGATACCAAAAACTTTCTAAGATATATTAGATAGAAAATCAAGATGCTATAATACCCCTTTTGTGTAAAACTGTATATTAGTACAAATGTGATTGTGTACATAAGTGTATATAAATAAGTCTGAGCTTGACTGTACATATATTTATATATCTGTGCGGGCTTCTCTTGTGGCTCAGCTGGTAAAGAATCTGCCTGCAATATGGGAGACCTGGGTTCAATCCCTGGGTTGGGAAGATCCCCTGGAGAAGGGAAAGGCTACCCACTCCAGTATTCTGGCCTGGAGAATTCCATGGACTGTGCAGTCCATGGAGTCACAAGGAGTTGGACACGACTGAGTGACTTTCACTCACTCACATGTATATATTCAAGCACATGTATGGTTATGTATACAGTAAATATGTCAGAGAATAAATAAGAAGTTTTTAATAATGGTTACCTCTGGATATTGACAGTAGTTGTAAAAAAAAAAAAAAAAAAGACAGTAGTTATATACACATCTATCTTTCCCACTGGGTATGAAGTACTTAATCTTGAAGTAAGAACTATGTTTTATTAATATTTGGGTTCTTCACAATGTTTAACACAGTGCTTTACATTTAGATGTTCAATAGATTTGTCAGATTTCTTATGTAGCCTTCTGTAGTGGTTGACATGACAAGACTTACAGTTGGGAAATTTAAACTAAAGAATAAATTTGATTGATATTACCAGAAAATTCCAAGCTTTGCAGTTTGCCTGTACAGTCTTTTGACTCTGTATTCACTTAGCCCCACCCTAAGCTCTAGTCACTGTCTTCACCCTAGATCATCACATTTAAAACAGTCATTGATTAGAGTCATCTGTATGGTTAACTTAAGTCTCATCATGATAGAACTTCTTGGTTTTGTTGTTACTGTAATAGTAGAAGATGTCAAAGGAGATCTGGCAAGAACACAGCTTTGCAAAACCAGGAACAATTGTAGAAATGTTTTA